GTCAACTACAGCATCTACATGGAAAACTTTTGTTTCCTGTCACAAGTCAAATCCATCATGTACCCAGAATGCATCGCTTCAGTTTTCCAATAAACAGTTTTAAAATTGCTTTATTGATGCTTCTTTAATGAAAAATCTACAACAAACAAAAGAAAAAGACAAAGAAGCAGCCGAACCAGCAATCCTCAACAACTTTTTAATTTTTACACCAGGAGCTAAAAGGTCTGTTTCAGGAAATCACATCCCCAGCAGTCAGTGGTTGTAGAAATAAGCTGTTCAAGGGTTCACACACTGCTAGTTGGCAGTGTTGTGTATATGTTGTACATGAATTATTGCCAGCTAGTGAGTGTTAATTTGAACTTGCGCTTTAAAATTAGCTTCCGCTAGTTTTCCAATGGCATAAGTGCCTTTGCAGTTGTGGACCTAAACATTTTCATAAGCACTTTAGAAATTGCAGAGCTAATTTTTGGAGCGTTTTCCACCACTGAGTGTATGTAAAACAACCAACTTTAACAAGCATTAATCTCAGCTGCAGCTTTATTATTAAAAAGTTTCCTGTTGCATATTTTTACTTAAACAATGTTGGGTCTACTTGGATTGGGCTTTTAAACAAGTATGTCAACCATCAGCTTCTGGAGTCTATCAGAAGTTTTCTTTTAGGGCTGATTTTTAATTTTTTTTTAAAGTTTTTTAGGAAGATGCTGATTTACACCCTGACTGTGTGCAATTCAACGTCTCTGACCTGTCAGCACAGCTGCTCAGCCTGCTGACAGACTGACAGCACATTTATCACAAAATAACACAGTTTTGAACTGTGGTTAGTTTGTGTTTGATAACCTATGTTAAAAGACAAATAGCAGACAACAGCACACAACCAGACAAATCGCACATTGCACTGTGGTGCAAGCAGAGAGTTATTCCTTGTTGTGGAGTTAATCATCTCCATGACAAATCATCATCCGTTCAACACACAACACCAAACAAATTAAACTAATGTACAGTTGCTTTAGTGCTATGTTATTATATTGATATTAGCTAAATAAAACAAAAGATTCACAATTAATAGATAACAGTTACACTTGCATGTTTTTGACTCTAAATGCAGCCTGAGATGCTTTGAATAACTGTCTGCAGAATGTTCTCACTTCTTCTCATCACCCCTTCAAGTCTAAGTTACTTCAAACAGATCATTGTGAACAGGAAAACAATTTCAAACAAACATCGTCTTTTCTTAATTTACTTTATTAACTTTGAATTCTCCGGACTTAATGCACAGAATCTTTGACTTTTTAGCTAAAACCTGGATGGAAGTGTAACAAAGTTTTTACAAGAAAACAACCATCGAAAAAATAAAATAAAAAGCTATTGTGGTTATTTGATATTAATAAATAAAACTATCTGTGTAAAATTCTTTATTTCTGTATAATTCATATACTTTGTACATATTATACATGATTAATGCCATTTTGACACACAAAAGACACTAAAAGACTACTACCCTAAAAGACTCTTGTTATTATAAATTAGTAAAAGCATAGATTTCATAGGCAAAAAATCACAAATGAAAAGTGCTGCCATGGCTCATGGACACAGAAACGGCAACAAATGACACCAGAGCATGAGCCACCAGGCGCTCAGAGATGAGACAGAAGTGTCTCATGCCCTTAAAGGCCATGACCTGAGCCAGGGTACCCTAAAAGACAAGAGTACCCTGGGAGCTGAATGTATAAAACATAGTTTCACTAATTTAGTAACATTTAGATTGGGAACTTAAAAATTCTAATATGCTTCATTTGCAAACAAACGTACACACACACACACACACACACACATCACACACACACACACACATCACACACACACACAC